TATATCAAACTAATAAATAAATAAAATATTCAAGTACATATAATTGAAATAGTGAGCCCTTTCAAATAAACAATATATTATTTCTCTTTATACCAAGGATTAAATTACACAATTATCTTCACATTAATAAAAGTGAAAAAACACCAAACAGTACCATGCCAATTTATTTTGCAATGTTTTTTTTATTATTATTATTATTATTTTCTAACAAGCATGAGAGCTACGCCAAATGTAAAATGTATCGGGTAGTCAGAAAAATAGTACTACTCCGGCAACAGATCTAGTGTCTATACGGTTACAAATTTATCACACGTTATATTCTCATTTCACCCATACTATTTGATCTATACACAAATATACATTAACAATACCTTAGCTAGACCAACAAATTTCACGCAACTTTTCACCCACTACATCAAAAACAAAGCTACCTGTAATGATTCAACACCAAGAGACCAGAAACGCTCAGAGTTCAGTTTCAGATCCTGGTCAGGTCACATAGGGAAGGAATAGGAACAAATAGGAAATACAACGATGTCCCTTTACTCTCTGCGAGATGCGAACACGAAATATCGAGAAATTGAACATTCAAAACAAACGACGCGAGATATCAAAGAAAGTCTACAGAAATATGTTCAGAATGACGTCACGGCGTCAGGCGGGAAAATTTAGCACCACACACCAGATACTCATGGATAAGCTCTGGTGCGCGTGTAAGGGTTTCCTAGAGAATTTGTATGCTTTAGCTGTATTACGCGATTGCCGGTATAAACACAAACGCCGGCAACCGCAATATCATTGTAAATAACAAATTGATAATAATATCAATTTGTTATTTACAATGATATTTACTTTCAACTTGTATAGGTTCTGACTGCGCATCTCGTTCACAAATTTGATTTCAAGAAGTACTATTCTGGTATTCGTCAACGCACTACCATAAAACCGTGATGGAAATAGTATATCCACCATGCATAGAGTAAGACCAAGAAGCACAACTTTTACGTTCAACAATAACTGGAGCGCTTCGGTGGACCAGTCTGCAACAACTCAAAATTTCGTCGATTTTTCGAATGGGGTAATGTGCGTCCATAAGTTGCTCGTTCACACCAACTTTGTAATCAACACACAGTCGAACTTCTCCATCAGCTTTTCGAATGACAACAAGTGGAGATCCCCAGTCGCTGGTTTCAGTTTATGTAATTATCCCTGCTTCGAGTGAATCCAGCTCCTTCTCGACTCGACTGAACAGTGAATACGGAATTTCTCTCTCAGGGTGAAAACTTAGTTTGGCTTTCTCTCGAAGTTTTAATGCCACGTTGAAATTTTTTTCGTGTCCACTCTTTTCTTCGAAAATGTCTGAAAATTGTGTCATAATTTCGTTGGTTCTATTGATATTACTTACAGCGTTTGTTTCGGTTCATACTAGGTTTTGTTGATCGAGTTCTTGTAAATTAATATTTAAGCGTATTATTATTCCGGAACAATGTAGATTTTATCTTGGATGGTTTTCCCTTTGAATTCGATGTTGACATTAATTTTACCATCTAGAACGAAGACATCATGCGTGTACGACCGTAATCGCAAAGGTATTGGCTCAAGTGCGACATTGAATTTAAAATCGGCGAACTTGTTTCGAGGCTACATCGTGTAACCGGCACTTGAATCAACTTCGAATTTGATTAATTATTCTTCAACTTTAACCTGGGCGTAATAGCATTTCAAATTATGGTTTGGGGGTCGATTTTGGTAGATGTCGTTAATTTGAAATGATTCATATTCTTTGGTTATCGTATCCAGTTGAATTGAATTAGCCGGTTCTGCCTGTACAGAATGAGATTGTTTTGATTTTCGATCTAACAAGGATGGGACACATACCTTAGAAATATGAACGATTTTCTTGCACTCAGAACATTTCAGAGATGATTTATTAGTGCGACAGTCGTCTACAAGGTGATTATTTCTTCCGCACCTCACACATAGTCCATCGATGCCCAGCGGGCAGTAGCGTAGTCAATTCTTGATTCCCGTTTCCTCGAACTTGATCGATTGAGCGATGGGCTGCGTTCATGTTGATCATGTTCATGTTTTGCGTGGTTATTTTCCTTCGAAATTTTGACTTTGTTGATATTAGCTTTTGATATCGATGCAGAGATCATTTGAGCGAGTTCCTTTGCGTTGATTTTTGAAGCTTCAAGAGTTAGTGCTTTAGTCACAACATCTTCAAACCTATTCGTTTCCGATTGTAGCAATTGCTCCCTGATGGAGTTGTCCTTTACTCCTCGAATAAACTGTGCTCGAAGAAAAATGTTTCCAGCAGAAGTTTCGCACGAACCTTCTGAAATAAAATGACTATCTCCTACGTCCGCTCTCAAGTTTGCGACCAATTCTTCAATATATTGATTATCAGATTGATATTTTGATAAAAATTGATGCTGAGCCACAAGAACGTTCTTTTCTGGTGCTAAATGTTTTTCTAAAAGTTCGATTAATTCATCGTATGTTTCTTCTTTTGGCATTTTTGGTGCTGACAATGCTGATATTATGTTGAAATATTTTGCACCCTTAGAATTTAAAAATAACTTTGCACAGTAATTTTTGTTATTTATTACATTCTTTATTTCTAAATAATTTTCGAAACCAGATCTATAATTTCGAAAGTATTCTCTTGTTGAATCGAAATATTCAAAATTTGGCAAAAGAGCAGTATTAACCATTAATTCTTGATTGGTTCTCACTGGTTGATCAGTGTTTTTTCCTAATATTTTCTCGAGCACTTGCTGTTGAAATTTCATAAATTCAGAAAATTGTGTCGCATCCATTGTGCTGTCTGTTGTTCAATTAAGTTGATTTTATTACCTTCAAGCAGTGATGGAAGCTACTCGATCCACCCACAATCGCCTCTTGTTGGCACTGAAGAACGTTTAAGAAAATGGTGCAAGTCTCGCGGTCGCTAAAAATCCTAAGTTTTCAAAAATTGAAAAAATTCAAACTTCTTGCGGCGTCTTCCTACAGCTACAATTATGAAGATACATTTTGTTTCACAATGACGTGTGCTCACCAGAAACATATTCAATTAAGGCCTTGCTGAATTGTTTGAAAATATGAGTACAATTTTTGTAATTTGGCGACATAGTCGTCCATGCCCAATGTACTGCACTTCATGAACGGAAAATGGTGTTGTTACGCAGTTGGATGCTACGTAAGTTAAAATTTGTATACTAATTGATATTTATTTGTTTTGTTTCTTACTTTCAAGTTTTGGTTATACTTTTAAAACTACTCTTTTAGAAATTATTTAAAACCTATATTAAATTGAGTCCTTTACTTATGCTGAATGTAAAAATGAATAGAGAATTTCGCTTTGCTTATTAAGTTGTGGGAATGAAAAGAAATGCGTACACAATCCGAATAATTTTTATGAATATAAAATATAATGTATAATTATTATATTTTTTTATCCATTCTCATGTTTTGTGCTTGCAGTATTCACAATGCTAATAAGAAAAATATGTATTACATACGAATTAACGGTCATTTGCTTGCGACACATTGTTGTAATTTATATATTTGAAGAATAATACAATACTATAGAGTTTAATAATTACTATATACATTTTCCATCTATTTGCATTTGTGTTCCAACGCTATCACTATCGTATTGTTTATTAACTTATTTACTTTCTCGCATAGTCTTATTTTACTTTCTCGCATACTGCTTATGCAGAATATTGTAAAGCTAAAACATCGGATATGATCGTGTATACACTGCAACCTTGTACAACGAATTGAATGCCAGAAATATAATTTCTTTTAAAGTTTTATAATATACAGGTATAATACTGTAATGGGACAGTCACACGAGGTTGCGGGCGTATTTTAATATTTTATAACGTAGTAGAGCACCAAAGCAAGGGAGCTAGGAAAACTACCCGCTCAGTTGACGTAGGCGTCGGGGACCGCAGAGGCCAGGAGCCCTATTGTTTGCCTAGAGAAATTCACCGTTGCCGTTTCCCAGAACTCAGGTGACGCGGAGATTTCAACCGACCTTTGAGAAGGCAAACGGTTATCGATGATACCGAGATTGGGCAGAAGAAACCGCGTGATGCGCGCCTGCCAGTCGCCGAAAACGAATGCCGTCACTCGGGCCAAAACGAACAGAGGGCAGTAGCTGCAACGAGTAGCTTGACGGACAATAACTGTATAAGTGTCCGAACTCGAGCCCAGGACTCATGACGGGCCAAGGCACCACTGCTGCCGTGAGCCACGCCGCCGTCAACCGTACTAGGCGTTTCTAACGCTCAGGACGCCACCACGCCACTCGCCATCCTAACCGCCTAGCGAAGGGGCAAGGAGAGCCACCCCAGCCGAGGGCCCGCCACGGGAAGTCAGGCCCGCGCTGCCGCCTAACCGCACTGCTCCAGACGGTCAAGGGAAAGGACCGCTGCTTGCTTCACCGAGGTCGAAGAAGTCGGGGAGGACGCCATCCTGGCTGAAAGGGCGATCCTTGGCCTGAATTAGTTGTACTAGGAGCTAAGTTAGGATAAGTTAGTTTTAGAAAGACCAGCTTATAACGAGAGGCCTCACCTCGAATTGAATAGATATTAAACCCACTTAAGAACAGCCATGCGTTTTAATGCGTTTGTGCACGAGAAAAGCCCTATCATGCATGTACCCTAGAAGAATCTATAGACGGAGAAGCCACAGCCACGCTGGTTCGGGTAATCAGGTGAATCGGGGCAACCATAAGCAGCGTGGTTACAATGCACATAGTATATTTCCTTTCATTTTTACTTATATATATATATATATATATATATATATATATATATATATATATTGTAACCCGCCTGTGGTTTCTGGAGCGGGGAGGTTTTCAATAACAGAGTCATTTAACTTTAACAAATAAAACATTTAATATTTAATGATAATGAGTGATGGATGATTTTACATGACACTTTACAAGTATACCACGTAGCGACCCTTTTTTATTTAAAATTAACTTGGTTGGTTGACTCGATATAACAACTAATTCAATTAATATGCCGCCATGAATATTGATGCTGATGGCATCTTCTCTCCAGCTTCGTTCAAGAACTGTTCTTCCGCATTCTAGCGGGAGCGAAGCGAATGATTACCCTTTGTTGTTGTTGGCGTGACAGTACAGCACCCAGCTGGTAGGGTTGTTGACCGGCGTCAAAGGCAGATCGCCCCCGGCCAGTTGCAGGTTATCACGGACTTCAGCGTGGCCGTCCTCATATTCCTCTCTCTGAGGTCGGACCCATGGATGACGACACCGACCTCCAGATTACCACGGCTCGCGTCCGCGATGAGGGATCAGAAATCATCCGTCTCCCGGATCAGGTAATCGCGGACGATCGAGTATCGTAGGCGGGATAAGCCGGCATATGGCACGTAACAGCGTGCTACTCTGCACCGATAACTTACTAATGCAGTTCACGGCCAGCAAGAATACTTCCCGTCCCCGGGAACTATGTCTCTTTTCGCGAGAATCTCATGTGATTCGGAGCCAAAACTCCCCTCGCAAGATTTCTAAGATGAATTATTGAGAGCTGACTTCCCTCTATAATA